AATGTCAGTTTCTGTGCGACGTCGTGTGAAATCGTTAGGCGTAAGTGCTCTTTTTGAGGGGGATTTGTTGGGATAACCTATAGATTTCCCCTGTGTGATAACGTCCTATGTCTGAATCATGCTTCTGTCATGAACCTATTATGCAAACCACTTGCTCTCAGCCTACTCATCTATAATATGGGCTGTCAACAGTTACTAATAGGGTAACAGGAGACAGCATGGTAGTTATTTGAGTGTTGGACTAGGACTCCAGGAGATCAGAACTGAAATCTCTGTTCAGCCAAGGAACGTGTTAAGTATCCCTCCCCCACATGCTCCCATTTGTGTTCATTATGGAAAGTACAAACAGGATCTTGGTTTTTCCCTAATTTGCAAAGGAGGTTCAGTTGTGAATTTTTACCTGAGAATAGTTGTGAGACAGGCAGAGACCTATAAAGACCAAATAAAGTATGTCTCAAGGACAGTGCTCACAATTTTATTTTTAGGCCGCTGTTCTGGTGCCACAGGATCTTATCACTAACACACTTCTACTAACTCACTGATTCTTGACATTATCCAGTCTTCTTGGTGATTTGGCTTTATCCAGTTGCTTTCTAGGCTCCTATCACCCTGTCTCCTTGCCTTTGAATACAGAATGAATACAGAAGCTGTACTTAATGTCAAAAAATAACTTGGAAGCACATAACAACAACAAACTTAACAACAAAGAACCACAGTGGAAACATGAGGTAAAGCCAGAGAATGGGCACTTGTCTCTTTGTTAGTGTTGTGTGTCTCCAAGCCATTTTTGACTTTTGACTCCAAGCCATTTTTGACCCTAAGGCAAACCTATCATAGGGTTTTATTGGTAAGTTTCTTCAGAGGGTTTTTTTTTTCCATTGCCATCCTCTGAGACTACACCCAGTGGGTTTTTATGCTAGAGCGGGGAATCGAATCCTGATCTTCAGAGTCATACTCTCTAAAAAGATACGTGCGCGGGTAGTTGTGACAACAGGTAGATGAGTTTGTGGAAGGAAAAAGAAAACAGTTTAGTTGTGTTCTTAATCATCATTCCAAGATAAGAATCACTTACATTGCTGGCATAGCATTACATACAGAAGACGTGAAATGAACACATGTTCTGTCAAATAAAGCTCCAGAAAGTAATTAATAGTTATAAGCATGTTCTTACATAGAATCACAAATAGCTTTGTACCACAGCTTGAAAAAGCTTTGTTTTGTTTTTGGATTACAGCTCCCAGAATCCTTTAATGTAATGCTACTGAATTCTTTAATGTAATGCTACAGTGTCCTGAGCAGAATCCAAAAAATGTAATGCTACTGAATTCTGCTCAGGACACTGGTGAGCTTAATCATCACTTAGGTATGAGAAGGCGGAAAAGCAAAATGGGCACAATTTGGTTAAAGTGAAACACTTTTAAAACCCCTTCACTTTTGAGGCAAGAAGATATTTGAACATAGGTTACTCTCTCATTGAAATCAAGGAGACTTGCAGGTGCTTCGCTTCTACTAAATCAAAGCCCAACGCTTATATTTATGTACTTATTCTGGCTTTTTATGACTTAAGTAATTCTTATCAATCTAGTTACTGGTGAAGATAAATATTGTTCCAAATATAATTTATCTTTTAATTACTTGCATAAAGCCAGTTTAAATATACCCAAGCAAGCCATACACCCATTTAGGGAAAGCATTCAAAGGTCAATTGATAGGGCTCTGGATAAAGTCTAGCTCTTATTGCACAAACATGGTATGTTAAACAACCACCTTTGGTGTCTGCGTCTTAAATTGTCATTATGCTCTTGCCAGAGGCTCTGTCGCACACAGCCTGCAAATCTGAGTGCCTGGCAATGTCAGAGCTCTCTCCAACCCCATATTGCCCCTAGAGTAGGGAGGGATATAAATCTGTGGACATCCAGACACTGAAGTGCTAGGCCCATTCTCTTTCATTCTTGGCCATGCCAAGGGGAACTAGAGTCCAAAGATATTTGGAGGGCCACAGTTCCTGGTCTGAAAGAACATGGTATGTTGAAGCCAAGCAGGGCTGCTTGTGTGAATATGAAATTGCTGCAAGGAAGAGCCTTATTGTAAGCTGCTCTGAGCTTCTAGAAAAGAATGGACAGCTTCTGTATATCTGAATGGTCCCTGACCCTTCTCTTTCAACAGAACTGGCTATCTGAAGGACTGTATCTCCTTGTATGAGTCTGCCTGAATGCTAAGATTTTCAGGTTCTCTCCATCCTACCACCTTCACAAACATGTTTAGTGGCCACCTGGGGATGGCCTCTTTACCGCTGCTCCTACATTTTGGAACCTGGAAGGGGGGGGAGCTAGGCTGGCTCTTTCCTTGCTTTCCTTTCATTGTCAAGTGAAGATTTCTATTCCAGTGGGTGTTTGAGAACCAATTGTTTTATATAATGGGCTTTATATAATGGATTTAGTTTTTAATATATGGTTTAAATTTATGTTCTTCTATAGATCAGTGATTCCCAAACTCTCTTCTTCCAGATGTTTTGGCCTTCCCTTCCCAGAATTCTTGACCATTGACTAAGGTGGCTGGGGATTCTGGGGGGGTTTAAGTACAAAACACCTGGGGAACCAAATTTTAGGAATCATTGCTATAGGTAGTTTAATATTTTAATCTTAACTTTTTGTGTTTTTAGCTCTGTATGGTTTTACTTGTATCTCTTCTTATTTTCTAATCAACCTGGAGTCATGCACTTAGGAAAAAGGTGGGATGTAAATAAAGTGACTGATTGATTTAACCTCAAGGAGATGTTCAGCCAGTGCAACTTTTCCCCAGCATTAAAATGGAATTCCATTCTTACAGCCATATACATTCAACTTTTCTGACAGATTCAGTGGTTAAATGCCTGTACTGCAGCCACTCACTCATAAAAACCACAAGGTTGCAAGTTCAATACCAGCCAGGTCTGAGGCTCTACTCAGGCCTGCATCCTTCTGAGGTCGCTAAAATGAGTACCCAGCTTGTTGGGGGGCAATCAGCTCACAGTTGTAAACCGCTTAGACACCCCATAGAATGGTATGAAGCGGTATATAGTAAATGAAGCTGCTTTGCTTTTGCTTCAGTAGGCAATGATTTGTAATCTGAGGTATACTCCATGGATTCAGACACTGGATTCGTGTAACTGGTAGGCTGTCTACCTGATACTACGGAACAGGTTGGCTTGGGGATTCTGGGAGGTGTAGCCCAAAGTAGTAACTTTTTCAAGCACAGATGCCATGCTAAATGTGTAGCATGCAGTCAAAAGTGACATTATTTTATATTTGAAATGCCTGGTCTACATTGGGGCTACTGTGCACAGGTAAGGGAGTTTAAGCCTTCCCCCGGCTCAATTTCTCCACATAAATTTGCCCCTCTCCAGGACAGGGGCTTAAAGGGGGAGTTATGTGGGTGCCAAAAGAGTTTAGTTCTTCTTTTTCTTCATCTTCATGCCATAGAAAGATGGAAGATGAATATATGTAAAGTAGGGGGTGGGGAGCAAATGGGGAAGACAAATTTAAACTGCTTCTTGTGTCAGATGGCCTTAATCCAGACTAGATGCATGCATGATGCATAGTTTATTACAGTCAACAAACCTGAACAAATTCAATCGATTTTACAAAATCGTAACATGAGTGTGATGGTTTAGTTATTTGAGTGTTGGACTAAGACTCTAGAGGCCAGGGTTCAAATCCCTGCTTGACCATGCGGATTCACTGAGTGACTTTGGACAAGTCACACTCTCTCATCCTCAGAGGAAGGCAAAAGCACCCCCCCCAAAGCAAATCTTGTGATAGGTTTGTCATAAGTTGGAAACTACTTCAAAGCACACAACCACAAATTATCCCCTCAGGTGCCTTCTCCATCACCAGCCATTTGTCTTATCACTTCAATTGCAAACAAGAGAAGCTGTCCTGCAACAAATATCATTACTGTGTTTCTATTTGACAATAAAATTTTTGAATAGACCTGGGCTGATTGAATAGATAAAATAGATACTAAAAGAGCAAGCTATGGACTGATGAACTCCAGCATATAGACTATACAGCAAAATATGACATTTCACTGATTTTACTTCTCGTTTATTTCATGTGAAGGCCCTTCTGATACAGATGGAGCACTTGTAAGTAAAGAAGAAAGGAACTTTCACCTGTACATGGTGGGCTCATATGGATTAGGATCCTACGTGCTTACTTAAACAGCTCCATGCTGTGCATCTAGCTTAGCATGTAGCTGATAGGTAGGGTTGCCATAATTCTCTTCCACAAAACTGGGACAAAATGTTGGACAAAATATAGGGCATTCAAGAAAAATGGAGGACATCAATAAAATAAAAAAAAACATTAATATAAATTCATGTTTCTAAGGGCCTTTGCAGACTGCCAGAAATAGTGCACATTAAATTGAGGCACTGCCCTGGCTCAGTGCTAGGGAATCATGGGAACTGTAATTTATTGTGGCACCAGAGTTCTCTCACAGAGAAGGCTCAATGTCTCAGAAAAAAAATACAATTCCCATGACTCCCTAGCACTGAGCCAGGGCAGTGCCTCAATTTAATATGCACTATTTCTGGCAGTCTGCAACCCCTGTGAGACTTTGGAGACCAGAGTTCCATTCCCTGCCTATTGGGTGACCTTAGGCAAGTCACACTCTCTCAGCCTCCTCAGCGGAAGGCCATGGCAAACCTCCTTTGAACAAATCATGCCAAGAAAACCACCACCAACACCACAACCAAGACCATCATCATCACAAAAGCAAGAGAGTGGGACTCACTCACCTGGCTCTCCTCCTGCAACCTGCAAAGCCACTGGATGAGCTGACCACCAAGGGCCCCCTCAGAGAGGCGGCCAGTTATAATTCCTCTTAGCAGCCTGAAGCAAAGGAGGAGGCGGTGGCATGCCCCTTCTTGCCTTCCCCTCCATTTTGAGGTGGGTGTTGGTGGGAGGAAGGCATCCTGCCTCCTCCTCCTCCTCCTCCATGTCGCCTCAGCTGCTGCTGCCACCACTACCACTACCACTGCCCTTCTCCTCAGGGCCCCTGGACCTTCCTGGGCCTCAACCCTGCCAGCTGAGGCCCGGCACATCCTTCCCTGGACTTTCCTGGACCTCTGCAGCTGGATGAGGCCCTGCGCAGCTGCTCCAGGAAGGCCTTCTCTCCCTTGATCTTCTTGGGCCTTGGCTGAGCCAGGAAGGCCTTGCTGCCCTGGATGTCTTTGGGGGTGGGTTTGCTTGGCCGGCCAGCTGAGGCCCCGCACAGCTGCCCCAGAGTCAGGGAGGCCTTGCTGCCCTGGATGTCTTTGGGGCTTGGCCAGCCGGCACAGGACATGGTCTTGAAACCGGGCAGGACATTACAAAAGGCTGACAAACTGGGATTGTCCTTGGAAAAATTGGGATATGGCAACCCTACTGACAGGACATTGTGCTACTTGTGACTAAACATAGTGGCAAAATGTACTTGATGTATTGTTTGAGCATATACAAAATTTCACTGGCTTCTTCTGTGCTTCCCTTGGGCTCAACAGGAAAGGAAGTTTGGCAGGGAAATTGAATCCGTGCTGGGTAAACTGAGTTGCAGACTGCCAGAAATAGTGCAAATTGAGTCCACTTTTAGGGTTAGGGTTAGGGTTAGGGAATCATGGGAACTGTATTTTATTGTGGCACTAGAGCTCTCTGACAGAGAAGGCTCAATGTCTCAGAAAAAAAGCAATTCCCATGATTCCCTAGCACTAACCCTAACCCTAAAAGTGGACTCAATTTGCACTATTTCTGGCAGTCTGCAACCCCCCTAAGTTACACATTCTTTCCTCAGTGGCTATCAAGAGCACAAAAGGAATATGGATAACCGGGAGGGTGGGAAAAACCTGTTGGGTGGAGAGAGGCTATTTATTACAGTCCTCTTTAAGCCTTTGTGGTGGATAAGAGAAGCAGTTGTCATTGCCTGGCTGGTGTGAAGCAAAGTAATATGTTCCATGAACACATCTCTTGTGACAGTCTACTCCAAACTCTCGTGCATATAGCAATATATACACGCTCAGACTCTTGTTATGTTGGGTTGCTAAATAAGGATTTTGCAAACACAGAGGCTGCTAAAAATAGGCAAGCGCTCTGGTTTTGACCTCAGGGGCAACCAGTGAATGCAATTTTAAGAAGGGGAGAAACCACTTTTCAGAGGGAAAAAGCACTTCCAACTCCATCCAAGCTGCTGAATGGAGACACCTTCCTTCCTTCTCTCTGACCTCCTCATTTTGTTTTTATTCCAAACTAAAGGATTTAGTATTCTGTTGCATCTAATAAGAATAATCGGCTATGGGAAACCTGTTTGTGAGATGCACAGGGACCAAATCACTGGGAGTTGTCAAGGCCTCCTTTTTTATCTAATGGAACATGGCCAGATACCAGCTCAGTAGCTCCCTGGCTTTATTATCCCACCCCCCAGAGGATTCATTCTTAACATGGCTACTTGTGATGGTAATGCTAAGTCCTGCCATGCCCAGCTTGCTGTGACTCATCAGGCTTACGCCATCTAGCTGTTGTTGAAATGTGTTTGCAAGCTGACTCTGATTTGTGGCAATCCTTTCATAGGACGGGGGCCAGTTTCGTGGTTAAAGAGATAATAAAGTGGAAATAAAGCATCCCGAAAATAAAGCAAAAATAGTGCTAAATTGAGCAAAAGCATTTCTCTCGTAATTAGAATAAAAACGGAATTAAGTGAAAAGCGAAAAAAGACGTTTTTAACTTTCATACTCAAGTGAAAAACCCCGTAAATGTACTAGAAATTGGAGTGTTTTGTTTTGCTTTCGGGTGACCAGACTCCTCCTTTTCCAGGGCGGATCCTGCATTTCATTCAACCTTCTCTCCTCTCCAGGAGGAAATGTCAAACTGTCCTCCATTTGGAGCAGGAGTAAGAAGCATGATTTTCTATTTCTATTATGTGTGTGTTTTTTTTAAAAAAGCTTTTTTAAAAAAGCTTTTCTTGAGTCCTGTCCTCCTGGACAGTCTTCCTTTGGGGTTAGGACCTCTGGTCCCCCTGATGCTGATGGAGAAAGGGCAGCATCCCTCCTCCTTCCCTCCTCCTGTGGGCAAACCTTTTGC